ACAAATATTAGATATATTCCCCATCAAAACAAAACGGTGCATCATTCATTTTCTCGCGAACCGTAACTAAGCTATATTTGCTAATTAATATATATTTTTTAAATATTATGAACAATTTTTTGGAATCGGGACATCATTATTTATTAGAATAATCATTAAGAGCCCACCAAAAAAAAATTCAACCATTTTTATTCAAATTTGTATGAAATATGCCTACTTGTTTATAGCAATGCATTTGAGATGCGTGATTTTTCTAAATTAAACAATTGCGTTGAGCGACCTCTAAATTTTAATTGATTTCTCTCAAATTTTTACAGATTTTTATTTTCTTGATACTCTTTGAAAACCCGAGTGGTCTCGAATAGAATTCAAAAAAAAATTTTTTTTGCATCACCCTAATGTCCCTATAGAACAACCATAAATCCCAACTATGGGTCCTATACATACCGATACACCCTATAGAAACACCATACATTCCGATACAAATATCTATCGGTTTGAACAGGGTCTCTATGGGGTATTTTAAGCAGGGTACCATTTTTAGATACCTTAGTGATTAGATCTAACAATACTCTAGAGTTCGATATCTACAGAAAACCTATAAGCACTGCACATTACATCACTTGAGACTCGAACCACTGCACACAACATCCCTAGTAGATAAGTTAATAATAAAATTAAAAGTCTCGCCTTTCTAGGTTAACGACTTTTCAAACACAAAAGTCAAGTTAATAACTATTCCATTCGAAGCCCAGTACACCCGAGGTCTGAAAGGGATTTTTCGAAAACTGGACTTCAAAATTGCTTTAAGCTCAAGCAGCACACACTTTAGACACTTTTAGTCCACCCCAAAGATAAGATTCATAAAATTGAAAAGTCGGGGATCTACACTGCAAACGAGAAAATATTGACTGCACTTTACAGTGAATAGAAGATTTGAACCCTTGTGGGAAGTATATACTTTATTCAATGTTGTGATGAATGGGTGCCTGTTGATGGTATTTAAAAAAAATGCATGCGCCGGGTATGATAAGCAAGCGCCTTTTTAACTAAGCTATAAGGTTCAGTGATGAAAATGAAAGATAGCTTATATAGTTGGAATTGATTGGCAAAAAATAATAACAATAAATAATAATTAAAGGCCAATTTTTTATAGGCAACTCGGAAGCAATATATTACAAGAGTTCAAACGAATTGAAAAACGATTGTTATTCAAATAATATAATATTTTTGTGATAAATATCTGTACAAAAAGTTAGTATTTTTTTGTGAAATGCAAAGTGAATATCATACCTAATGTTTTACTTGTTATTGCATTTCTTATGATCACATGACAATTATTTATTTATTTTCAACAAAATTAATTATTATAAAAAAACAGGACCAACACCGTAATATAACGTCACTTCCGTCTTGTGTCGTTTTTTCTGGGTTTATTAATTACTCTTTTAAATCTTGAAACGTTCTCTTCCACTCAATCTTTGAATTTGAATCCTCGACTCATTAGACATTTAAGGCATTTCAGGTTATGTATCTTATAATCATATTTATATGTTTATCGCTTATGTTTAAGTGTTAAAGATTAATAATTTTTTATATTATCACAATATTTTTAACAAAATTATTATACAATGTGTGTCACTTTTGCCTCGTGTCGTTTTTTATGTTTATTAATGACTATCTATCTTAAAACGTTCTCTTCCACTTAATTTTCGAATTTGAATTCTCGACCCAGGTAGTAGAGATCATACAATATTTATTTTTACAAAGCCCAAATACCTACACGTAAGGCAGAATGAATAACATTCATCAGCACAAGATTTGAACGCTTGACTCAGGTGTAGAAATCAGAACATACATCAACTTCGACTGCAAATCCTTCAGGGAAGTATTGAGAAACTTGACCCATTGAGAAGTATTCAGCACCTTGAATTTCCTATATCAAATTCCTATTCATCACAAAATATTCAAAGACTATGAAGGTGAAAAGGTTCACGTAAAATAGAATAAATAATATTCATCAGCACGAGATTTGAACACTTGACTCAAGTATAGAATTCATAACATACATCAACTTTGACTGCAAATACTTCAGAGAGGTATTGAGAAAATTAATCCATTGAGAGGTATTCAGCACCTTGAATTACCTATACTGGATTCATCACAAATTCATCACAAAATATTCAATGACTATGAAGGTAAAAACAATCACAAAGTATAAGAGCAGCAAAGTATTCGGACACATAAGCGAATATAAAAGCTCAAATCTTGAATAGAACCATATTCAGGTCCAAACTTGAATACGGCCAATATTTTTTCATTTGCAGTGTACGAAATAAACTGTCAAGATTGTGACAAGAAATATGTTGGACAAACTAAACGATCCATCCAAGTTAGGTTCAAAGAGCACTTGGCCCATGCTAGATTTGGTAGTACAGATAAATCGAGTATTGCCCAACATATACTTGATGGTCATATAATAGGATTTGACAACCTTAAACTTATTAAGGAAGTTAGGGAACCAAGTCTACTGGATAGTTATGAAAGTTTATACATCTATAAGAATAGAACTAAATCTTTAAATAGCGATAACGGACCGGTACCCAAATCTAGTTAGTATAAATTAGTTTGTTAGTTTCTCTTTATGAGTTCACTAAGGCGATTACGGTCCACCGTTTAGTAAACTGTGTCCGTTTACGGTTCAGTCAACCTTAGCTTATAATTAGTATAAATATAGTAGAATTAGCATTTAGATTAAGTTACACTTCGCTTCTGAAGATGCTAACATCGTTGGCAAAAAGTACTTGGTGTTGGAGAATATTTCTAATATTTTTTTAATAGTGAAATGTGTCAAAAATCTTTAAATACTTATTTCTAAGTTCAACAGAAAATGAGTTAGGTACCATAGTCTTCGTTGCATATATGATATAAAATATTAGTATATATAATATTATACAGTGATGCAAATCCAAGTCCGACCGCGTTGGGAAGGATGGTTGTTCAATACCCGCGTGAAAAGAATAAGAATAGAATGCCAAACAGAATTTGATTGGTCAGAGCGTCAGGCGTGCGTATCGTAAGCGCCTTCTGTTTGGCGTTCTATCCTTGTTATTTTCACGCGTCCTCTCCAAACCGGTCGGACTTGGATTTGCAAGCACTGTATACTCCTATTACACTGTTTAAAATATCTGCGGTGTAAAGAGTAATCTTAAAATGGTGTCAAAATCCAACACGAAGTGGTGTTAATATAACACCATGATTTATGGTTGAAAATGTTATATACAGCAAACACTAAAACGGTGTTTATCTAAAAATATTTGAGAAGTGCAAAGGCGGTGTGGATCACGTGATGTTCTTAAATCTCGCCTCTGTTTATTTACATGAAGAATATATAAGGTGGTCCTTTGCTTTGGTGTGACACTACAAGTTGTTCGATACTAAAGAGACCTTAAATAGGTGGAAACAGCTGTCAATACTTGAAGTATTTTAAGTTAGTGGAACGCACTAAAAACATAATCTCTAGCGAGTTGAAGGTTCCATTTTCTGGAATAATACCACTGGTAATATACTAGTACTGCGTCAAGGAACTTCCTGTTTCCTTTTTTCTGTGTAGTATGATTTAATTTGACCACAAACACATAATATTTAACACTGAAAAGAAGTTCAATTTACACCAGGTAAAATTTATTTTAATAATGTATACTATATACGGGTATTATTTACCCAATAATTGCAAAAGATCGAAAATAAAAACAACATTTTATTGCGTTTAGATACAAAGGTTTAAAGAAAATTTACTATTTAAAATAATATCTATACACATAATATATAATTTTTGTTTCTAATTTAACAAAAAAACATGTTTTAGGCATTTTTTTTGCTAACAATTACATGCGATCACATATGACGCAAAACCAAAGTGTGTGAGTACGGTTTTGCGGCGACAGACTTCTTGGAAACAAAACTGTAAGTATATTAAAAATAGATCAACATTTTTAACTTATCACAAAGATCAACATTTTTAACTTACCTTACACACGGAAAATATATTATGATCACTAATTGTGCCACGGCAAATTTCATTAGAGTTAAAAGAATATTCATCATCAAAATTAATAGCAGAAAGTAATTTTCGACCTAAAAATAATAAAAAATAGGCCATAGTCATAAAAATACTTCTTTACTTGCCTTTGGATTTTGTGGTTATTAAAGCATTTTCTAAATCGATAAAACATATCTTTAGAGTAGAAGGTTGAATTGCTATGTTGTCTGGAGACATGTCAGTTAAATAAACGCGATAACTGGAATGCTTGCAAGTAAAATCTACGGATGCTTTAAGAAGCTGTGTTGCAATATAAGCTCTATGTAACCACGAAGCTTTTCCATAATTTATTAGAGAGTTTCCACAATCTTCTTCCATTATAGTTTTTCCACAATATCCATAGACTTTTGGAACAGGCCAACCAGAAAATTTATTGAATATTGACAATAAAAGAGGCTCAACATTAACGTGTAAAATGGTCCACAATTCTTCTACGGTAAATTTAGGTCTTAAGTCGTAAACAAAATTTTGGATTGAATGTTTATTACATAGTTTAAAATTAACGATCGATGAACTTTCATTAGAGAGTTTGTTTATAACATCTATGTATTTTACTTCGTTTTTATTTATTTCATCAATTTTTTTAAGTTCCCAAGAAAAAGCTAGTTTCTTTAGATAAATGCTATCATGATTGTAATATCCTCTATAAACATTTTTAGTACTTATTAAATTTATAACATCATTTAAATTTTCGACTTTAAAATATATGTTTCCATTTTCAACATCATAACACAAATCTGAACCATAGCAAAAAGGACAGGTTTTATTATTAACCAAGGATAATAAATAATATTTTTTGAAGACAGAAAATTTTGCAAGAAAAAATAGTAAGGAAAAAGAACTTAACATTAGAATGACTTTAACTATAGGATTATTAAATATAAACATTGTGCCAATTTAAATGTTTGCAGTTTTTTTGCCCTTGCTGCAGGGATTTTTGTCTATATGAATATAATTCTTTAACCCATTTATCCATACGTGATTCTTCGTTCAAAAAAAGCTAAAAATTAAGTTACAATAAGTACAAAAAGTTAAAAGTTGGTTTGGAAAATTTATTTAACTTAACGCTCAATATTTGTAAAAAATATCCCATTGAAATAAAAATATTGTTTAAAAGGGTGATACACAACAACCACACCCCTAATTGTGGAGCAATGAGACAAAAGCAAATAAATCCGTTTTAAGCAGTTTCGAGTTATAAGCGAAAACCTAATATTTTTCGTTCTGCAACATTTACACAAAGAACAATCCATGTATACTATAACACTATACATTGTATAGTGTTATAAGACCTGAAAATTCATTTTTTATTTTTTGTCTACCTGCATCATGTGTTATAGAAAAAAACAAAATGGATTTACCTAGTGTTGCTTAAATTGACAGGATTTATCTCTATTTGCTTGAAATAGGAATAAAAAACTGTTTTACTCATTGACCTATACAGGGTGGTCTAGGATTAATCTAAAAAATGTTAATGCCATTCAAGTTAATTTAAAATAATAATGTGAATTTACCTTTTTTTCATTGAAACAAGAATTTAAATTGTATTAATTTGTCTGATTGCTCCACAATTAAACTGTTTAATAATAACAAGTAATTTACGATAATTAAACGTAATGGCTCGCCATGACTGCACAAAATTATTTTTTTTTGAGGCGAAGGGTGTATATTTATATATACAGGGCTTCCCAAAAGTCCCGGGCCGAAGCTATATCTTTTGAAGGAGTGAAGAAAAAAAATTGAAAATTTGGGGATCACTATATGATCATAAAAACTACATTCTTAGATAGTTTAGAACTTTCATGCAACGTGGAGTTTGTTTAGGGGATGACCACCCCAACATTTGAAATAGAAACCGCTGTCGAGTGTCACCTTATTTTAAAGGTAATAAAAAAAGAAACAACCCAATAAACCAAATTCCGATATCTTAATTGTTTCAAGAATTATGAGGGGTGGACAATCAAATGAGAAAACCACCAATATCACTAGGGATATGCTCCTTAAGATTCAAAATTGCTTTTACGAGCGTTTGGGTCATTGCGAGATCGAAAATGGTCGACAATTTAAACATTTGTTATAAAAATCGTAATAAACGTGCAAAAAACATTAAAATATTTTATTTTCCCACTTAGTAGTAGTCAACCCTTGAAAGAAATAACATATCGGGTTTTCGTTTATGGAGATGTGTTTCTTTTTTCATTACCTTTAAAATAAGGTGAAATTCGACAGGGGTTTCTATTTAAAATGTTGGGGTGGTCATTCCCTAAAAAAACATACAGTTTTTATGATCCTATATAAATATATATATATATATATATATATACATATATATATATATATATATATATATACATATATATATATATATATATATATATTTAAGGGAATGATAGTACATGCCAAAATAAGAAAGTTTTTCCTATATCATTTTTGCATTGGTGCCATTTTTAAAAAATTAAAATACCATTAATTAATATTTGTACAAGTATAATATAAATTTTGGGCCGCCACTGGTTGTTCCTGACCTACGACAACTGACGCAAAATGTGCCTGCACAGTGGGCACATTTGTGTTATCATTGATTACTTTGTTGATAATTGTTCTTTGTTTTGCATACTCAACTATTTTTAGGTATTTTGAATAAAATAATACTTACTTTTTATTGTTACCCAGTAGGCACCAAACACTCGGCAAACAGTCGGCATAGGCGGTTGACCGGCGGTTCGGCTTGCCGCCAGTCGTCCCGCTTATGGCCCGCGTTATGTTAGCCCGGTACCGTTTGGCCATGTTCTAAGTCGGCCAGAATACGACATGCCGCTGCAAAATCGTTCGGCTTGCCCTAGCTGGCCCGCTTACGGCCTGCCACGGCATAAGCAATACATCTCACGGCTGCTTACGCAAGCGAGCTAACTATAAATATCAATGGGTTGCAATATTTAGTTGGAAGTGTGCGTCTGTAATTGCATAGCTGAACATTAATTGTTTGAAGTCCCCATCTCCATCCACATCTGCTCAGTAACGAATAATGGCTAGCTATAGTCGAGTGTGTTAAACCTATAGGATATACCTATCCAGGACGCCTGAAGGCTTTTTTGAATGGCCAGGCTGTTGTGGCCGGCACTCGGCCAACTATACACAGCCGACACTCGGCCGAGTAAACATAGCCGACATTCGGCCAGGCGGACATGCCAGGCTTAGACGCCGGAACAAATACATGTGTCGGGCCGCAGGCGGCCGATTCGGCAAAACGTATTCGGGCCGTATGTGGGCCGGCTAACTTGTGCTTACTGGGTAGCTATCTCGAGGTTTCCGTGATTTTCCCGTCGATTTTAAATTTCCCCTTTTACTTTTTACGTCAAATGGTGCTCATGTAGTGCTCCACAAAATTATAATAACCGAACTATCAGTAATCAATAATAACAAAGTACCTACTAACCGAATAAGTTTAAAAGTTTGCTGGATATTACATAAATCTTAGTTTTTAATAAATGTTGCCCACCTGTTTCTTTTTTGCTTGGTTGAATAATAATAATAATGATATATAGAATAGGTCAGTGACATCCAGTGGCTCCCTGGTAATGTCAAAAAAATTTCATAGTTTTTTAAAAAACAGTAGCTCTAATGCAAAAATGATAGAGAAAAAACTTTCTTGTTTTGGCGTATCATCCCCCAAAGAATGACAATTATTAGGTGACACCCTGTATATATATATATATATATATATATATATATATATATATATATATAGGTACATATGAGTACATTAGATGCACAACTCTGTATTTGCAGGATAAGTGATTTTAAGAAAAACACGAAAAACCGCTCATAAGGTCATATTTGAAAAAAAAAATACAAAAATCGTATAGACGTGCTTTTGCATCATTTCTTATTCAAAAAAGTAAAAAAAGTCCTTTAAAATTAAGTAGTTTAGTAAATAATTGAAATCAAAAGATTTAAAAACATCTTCCTCGTTCAAAGACCAAGTTTTGCAAGTGAAAAGTGCAAATACCAAAAAAATAACAATTAATCAGGTGATTGTTATGCCGTCAGTTAATGCGTATACTAGCGACGTGATTGGTGATTGGTCAAATACCGAGTTTTGCATCCGACAAATACCCAGTTTTGCAGCTGCGGTAAGTTTATAAATGTATTTTATTCTACAAATATTAACTTATGCATCTGGTTTACTTAGTTATGCTGTGGGCAGTGCAGTTATAAACATAAATAAGATAAAATATATATTTTTTTAAAATGTGCAAAAACCGAGTTTTGCATCTAATGTACTCATATATAATTACATAATAAAGAAATATATATGTTATATCATCCACAAACACCTTATCAGCAAGTACAAAGATAACACCAACATTCCATATTTCTCATATTACCAAGAGATACACCAAGAAGCGGCGATCCCACGGAGTCAGCAAAATAATATTTAGTATATAAACAAAATGTAACACATAAATAAATTCATTATATTTTAACTAAGCTTACTAGAACTTTAATGTATCGTAATAAATAAAAAATCTTTTTTTAAAAAGTAAATTTTAATTAAGTGAAGATAACAAATTGGCGCAGTCCACGGTAGGATTTGTAACACTGTGAGAACAAGAAAAATCTCCCAGTGGAGGATTCCAATCCATAATACGAAGAACAAATCGCTCAGCTCCAACTCAGTCACTCTACGGATAGGAACACCTGGTGAAGCCCCTGGTAGAAAAACTCGAGAATACGACAAGCAGCGTACCAAGAATAAATGCAGTGCAGTGTATTACTGTAAGTACTATTTTGAATCATCTCGTTTTTACCCCTTACTTTTATATTTTACTGTTTGGTTATCTAAATAACAATGCCTAACACAGACCCAAATCCTGATAACGCAGACAATTTACAAGATGAAATTGAACATTATAAATTGTCGGAAGTATTTTCAATAGTGCCAAAATTTGAGGGAGATCAAATCTTTCTCGGTACTTTTCTTAATGCATGTGACTGTGCATACAATATGTGTACAGAAACACAAAGATTTCTTTTAGTGATTCACATTAAAAACAAACTTCGCGGCAAAGCAGCACAATTAATTAGCTCTCGAAACCCAAATTCATACTTAGAAATAAAACAACTTTTAAATCTACACTTCGGCGATTCACGCGACTTAACCTCCCTAATACAAGACTTACAAAGACTCAGACAATTATCGAATGAATCCCCGCTAACATACTTTAACAGACTTCAGGTCTTAAACGCAAAAATGCAAGCAATCATAAATAAATCCAACCAATCTAATGAACAAAAGAAAGCGCAAACCGATCTAATAGAGACAATGGCTCTTAACACTCTTTTAACAGGTTTAGATCCGCGAATAGGTCAAATCGTTCGCGCAAGCAACCCTAAAGATTTGCTAGAAGCTCACCAACGTATTCGACGTGAACTTCAACTTTCCTATTTTGAAAACCAACAAAAAACCACCTTTAAACCAAACCAACCAAAATTACCTCAACACACAGTTCGGAAACCTTTCCAGAACTCACCTCAACGCTTTTCTACACAAAATTATACTCCAAGAGTTAACCCAAATTTTACACCAAGGTTTACTCCTAACCAAAATCAAAATCAACCACAATCGACAAACCAATTTACTCCCAAATTTAACCCAAACTTAAATAATCAACCCCAACAATTTCAGTCAAACAGACCAAATTTTAACTCTCAACCAAATCAATTCCAATCAAGACCTTCTGTCATTCAAAGAAATCCAAGTTTTAATTCCAACCAACAACATAGAGCACACGGTATAAATTACGAAACCCCTAATTATACTGAAGAATTTTCTTCACATGAAGAATATCCAGATAATTACTACGATTGTTATTATGACGATCAACCCTATGAATTCGAATACAACCAGACTCCTGAAACCTTATTTTTTGAAGACCCAATGCCTTCTGAAATTTATGAGGATTTTCTCAAAATCCCAGCTCAAGACAAACCCCCTGC